TAGTAAAAATGGGTTTGAATAGAGACATATACCATGATGAACCCAAACCAGAGAACAAGTGCGGTTACAAAGCAACATAAATTGCAATGCATAAAGATTTGGGGAAGAGCCTGGATGTGAATGTGAGACCTCAATGAAACTTTATTTATATAATGTTACCCATGATCTTTCCAAAACATATGGCTCCAGAAAATTGGCAATGATGCATGAATAGTGTTCACCTTATGTGTCATAAAATTACTAATTTTCATTGATTTCTTTATTGGATTGGATCTAACACGTCAATCTAGAACAAATTACAAGTCCAAATAATGTGTATTTACTCTATATATGTTAATTGTTAAAGTTTCAGTTAGGACCGACTTGGTAATCATTAAATTTTCAATTTTCAATTTTCATTTAAATTTAAATTTCTGAAACATTTTCTAGAAAGGTTTTTTTTTTCCCACTTAGTTTTTATTTTTCCTTTAATGCTCCCAAATACAGGGACTCAAGACACAAACTAGGACTTGGCAGACCCTTCACCTATCAGAAATTGAAAATTAGTAATGACACGTCATTGTTGTCCTCAAATTAGGTTGTGCGTTGCACCACTCATCTTTCCATCAAATATGTCTAATTGTCAAAATTGATCACGTGCATGGCACATGATCTAGTTCTAAGGGCAAATAAGACTTTTAAAGTCAAATGTTCTCCGTCGTGCTCCGCACTCTCATAGTCTATGTTGCATGGACACGGATACGGGGACACGGGAACGCGACACGGTGACACGGTGATACGGAAAATCTCAAAAAAGTAGGACACGGACACGGCTAGGACACGGCAATTAAAATAAGAATTAATTCTCAATATTTCAAGACAGAGAAACAAGACTTTTATTAAAAATAAAAAACCAAATATAGATAAAATCATACAAAGATACAAAACACATCAAAACAGAGAAACAAAATAAAACATGGTTCACATTCATTATGTCTAATAGTCTAATACCCAATTAATAAAACAAATTCAAATATACTCAACAACTAATAACAAGACTTTTATTAAAAATAAAAAAAGCTCCAAACATATACAATCATACAAAATACCCACACACAAAAAACACAACAGCGAAACAAAATTAAAAATCTGTGAAGCCTAACTTGAGTTTGCAAGAAGGAATCGTCCTTCTTGGTCACGATTTGCAAGAAAGAATCGTCCTTCTTGTTGTGTTTCTCTAAAAAAAAAAACATAAGAAATAATCTTCACCTCACCACCAAATTCAACTCTTCTACTGCTATGAAAAGGGAGATAAGAAAAGAAAATAGAGATAGAGAACATAAAAAAAGAATTTGAAAACAAAGGGAAAAATGTGGGATTCATTTAGGTTTAA